ACAAATGGAATTGAAATTCAGCGAAAAAGGTAAGAAAAATAATTACTAAGAAAACGATATAACTTAAAGCTACTAAATATCATCCAATTATGAATTCCGAGTAAGTGATTTGAAAATTCAGCAAAGAGGTAAGAGGAAGTTGTACCGAAAAAGGCATAACAAAAAATCATCAAAATATTTAAAGTTTAAAGTTTGAAATATTTAAAGTTTAAAGCGAACGCAGTGCCTACAGCCGGTGCAACGGCGAAATCGAGCTCGTTCACTCCAACGAGTCAGCGGCGAGCGCAGGTAGGCGGAACTGCGCTGGAAATAATGGGCGAGTAGAAATATGTTCGCTCCTGTCGAACCAAACTCTCTATCCAGTTTCCAGACTTTCCCCTTTTCTTCCAGCTGGGCTTTAGTCTCTGCAGCAGCTAAACCGAACCCAAGCCACTACTCCTGTATGTATGTGGGTGTGTACGACTTCCAGTATTTCTTATGGTTGCGGTTCGATTTATGCACATATATGGATACGTATCCGTAGGATGAGCGATGTCGCAGTTCTTGTACACTGGTCCGAAAAAAAACCAGAGGTCCTATGTGCTACCTCCCGCAAGCAAGAACCTGCAAGAATTTACAACAATAAATTTGGAATCCCCGCATCTATGCACATGTGTTGCATTTTTGTTTGTGCATACGTTTGCCCTCCTGCTCACCCCATCCTCATAGTCTATGCCTATCACGACATTTTATTTTCTGTTAGATAGCTATGTGTATCATGTATATCCTTTTTTTTTTGAAATTTCATCTCAATTTACTTTAGTTAAGTCAATTTACTTTAGTTAAATTATTATATTTTCTTTTTCTAATAAAAACACGCATATCCACTACATCATCCCCCGGTTCTTCACTTTATGCCAATTTATTTAGGGCAATTCGTACACACGTCACAATAAATGTAACCAAAAGGCGTGCTTACCTCGAGCAAGGCGGGAATAGTAGTTGCTTTCGGGCTGCTGAATGTCCCGGTGGCTGACGGTATTCGGCTAGCAACTATTATAATCAATTTTCTTTTATTTTTGAACAGTACGACTAACTGTTTATTGCTAAACAACAAGCTGGATATTAATACTTCCGCACTTTAAACTGCACTCACCAACTGTGATTTTTATATTAATCTTGTTACTAAGCTGGTGATCGTATCTAGGTTTAACAAAAAAAAATCCTTCTTCACAACCCACAAACGCGCCTTTAGGTTTGACACGACCCTATACGAACTTTCTATTACAACTAGTTGGACATCGAACATTCACACCAATACACCCAAATACGCGTACATCGAACGCGACTGGTCGGGCGGTGACAGCCTTAGATCGGTTATGGGCACTGCCTTGCCCGCGGGCAAAGCTCTTTCAAGCTTTCTATACATTTTGTCTAGGCGCGTGCAGAGTAAGAGTTCTCTCTGCTCATTGCTGTATTAGATACTCAGCTGCGCTGCGCATGGGTTGTAGGTATCGGTAGAGATAGTTTAGGTTGCAGAACACACGCACAAACAAACACTTGGTTTCTTGACCAAATGGCTTCGTTACAAGCCTTATCATGAGTTTCAACTTCCCTGAACCGGTTTACTTTTCGATTTTGGTTTCCATGTACTTACAATGGGGGGAATCTAAATTTTCGCGTGAACTTTTTACTCAGGGTAAGGAAGATTACATACATATAATGATAGCCATTTCCGTTTTTCGGACTAAACTCAAAACCCACTCAATAGAGCCCAGTCAAATTGGTGGAGGTCCTATTATGGGCTTCTAGAAAACAAGCTGGTGGCGCTGGAGTAGAGTTACTTATAAAAGTCGTATTTATTAACAGATTTCGTTCAAATTCGCAGTGACTACCTGTATCATGAAAAATGCCTTCGCTAAAAATGGACCCGCTGGAGTTTAGGTATTTAGAAAATCCGTATTTTTTATAAAATTTAATTGGAATTCATAATTCGTATTCATTTCATGACAAGCAAAGGTTTTGCAGAAAAGGGACCCAATGGATGACGCTGCACCTGAAATATATAGAAACCCCACGGGGTTTGTTTATCTTAGACGAATTTACTTTTCAGATGGCTAAATCAAGGATGCGTTTAAGTATGCATATAAAGACCGTAACACTGTGTAAGCGTGATTACAGCAGTAAGACGCAAAGAAACCAATTCATAAATATTAAGACGAATTGTAAAAGTGGCGAATTGACAAGGAAAGTTTCGACCACATCTGTCCAAGAAGGAACACGATAGGTATATCAGTGGCTTCATTTGAACGATATTCATGAGATCACACGACTCATTTAGCTAATGTACGCGAAAACTTTTCATCCTGTGGGGCAGCGAGGATTGTTGGCCTTCCTATAATTGAAAACGCTCATCTGTGCTCTTGAGTTTCCATATAAGGACTTTTATTGGCTTACATGGTACACCGGATCAATGCAGAAGTTGCACGATCATAGAAGAATATTACGCACGCTTGGCAGAGATCTGACAGGTGGAAATAAGACCCTAGGTAAAACGCATTACATCGAAAGGGATTAGTATTCCATATATGCACATCGCTACTATTCTTGGCATATGTGTGAGGAGGATACCGCTTTTTAGNAGAAGTTGCACGATCATAGAAGAATATTACGCACGCTTGGCAGAGATCTGACAGGTGGAAATAAGACCCTAGGTAAAACGCATTACATCGAAAGGGATTAGTATTCCATATATGCACATCGCTACTATTCTTGGCATATGTGTGAGGAGGATACCGCTTTTTAGTCGTTTCAATTAAACTAAAAATTTTTACTTTACAGACTGCTTTTGCTTTTAAACGTTATTTTTGAATTGGGCAAGGCAAAAGATCTTATTAGGCGCCACGAAGCAAGCGGGCGTTTGCTAGTAACAAATATTTCAATGGAGAACCGCTCAGTAATGTTGCCGCCACGAAGTTTTTGCGCAAATGAAACTACCAAATTGCCGCAAATACATATATATTAAGCTAAAAGCGATGATAACACGGTTCAACAAAATTTGATATTTTATCTCAAAAACAGGGGCGATTTCATCTTATAGGTTTTTTGATACTGATTTGAAGTGCATTTACAAACATTTGTATACCTTATCCAGTTTTTGGTAGAAAAAATGATGAAGTGTCGAAAAATGGCAAAAATGATAAATTTCTAAAAAAATTTAATTTGTTTTTGTTATTTTTTGGCCTTATAACAATTATATTCAACAATTTTTATTGAGCTCGAGGCCGTTTTTTATTGAAAATTTATTGTGGAAAAGCAACAATAATTTGAAAAAATGGTAGAAGTGATAGCTATTTCGGAAATCACCACATTTCCTCATCAGACTTCTTTCAGTAGGCTTCTAACCACTGACTCAGCCAGTTGCCTATGACCGTGCTAAGTACGCCTTGTAAATTATCGTTTTGCTTTTTTCTACTATTTCATTTTTNTTTAACTTTTAGGTGTGCTCGTCCTTAAGTTATTTGTTTTTGTTATTTTTTGGCCTTATAACAATTATATTCAACAATTTTTATTGAGCTCGAGGCCGTTTTTTATTGAAAATTTATTGTGGAAAAGCGATAATAATTTGAAAAAATGGTAGAAGTGATAGCTATTTCGGAAATCACCACATTTCCTATCAGACTTCTTTCAGTAGGCTTCGAACCGACGATCCCACTGACTCAGCCAGTTGCCTATGCACCGTGCTAAGTACGCCTTGTAAATTATCGTTTTGCTTTTTTCCATCCATTCATCCATCCATCATCAGACGAATTGGATGTTCATTAATACCTGTTTTTTTGTTCTTCGGAAAAACTACGTCCAAGTTCTATTAAACAAATTTTTTGAAATTGCCATTTTTTCACAAAAACTGGGCGTGATAGAAAATTTTTTAAAATGCACTTCAAATCAGCATCAAACAATTTATAAAATGAAAAAATACGACGAAATTTTGTTGAACCGTGTAATTATTGCTTGCCGTGAGCGGTCCCCATTGGTAAAATATTGAAATGATTTCATCAATTGGCCTACGTATAAATGTAGTATTTGTTGTCTTTCTCCATACGTTATAAACAACTGTTATGTTGACTAAGTTATAGTGCAATTGCACTGGGCGTAAATATAGGGACACGGAATTTCCTTTTGTATATATAATGCTAATTAATTTTTAATAAAAGTCTAGCTCATTGGGCCGTATGAATAAAAACTGAGCAATTGCTTTTTCTTAAAATTTCATACCTGTTACTTCACTTTTGTTTGAATAAATCGAGTAAAAGGTCTGAAATATTAAGAAAAAGGAATTGCTTATTTTTATTCATACGGCCCATTATCTAACAAAAGCATTTAAAACTGCGTACAAATATCAGGTTTCATCAAAATTTCAAACTTTTTAACTACAATTTTTAGAAAAATGTTTGGTACCCACTTTTGGAGCCCATTAAGTTCTAGTATATAAAGGGCGAGTGTGATATTTTGAAAAAATTCCATTGGTTTTTATTATTATTTTTTTGATGGGCTTACTTCTTTCATTCGACGTAAGTTCGAACATTTTTTGTATAAAGGAAAGTATAGCAAAACGTCGTTTTCCCTTTTTTCCGCCACTGTGTGTACCTACGTTTTATGTATGTATTCTCCGACGTTTGTTGTGAAACTTACAATTTGAAATTTCTTCCATTTAACCTCGAGCATTGTGTATCCTCTTTTTTCACCAAAAAAAAAATCCAGCTAAATTAAAATACCCCCTAATTTCCAAATGTAAATGCGATGAATGGTCTTTTTCATTTCTGAACAACAATAGATACATACTATAGAATTGTCTAAGTAATGTTAGGATGTTTTATTTGCTATGGTTTAGGAATAGAAGGAAATAATGCCTTGTATTTTTAAAGTTTTGAATTCGGTGGCACTAACTGCCACAAATATGTAACATTAGAAAAATTTACAAAATCAAGCTACTGTATTTTCAATTAAAGTCATATACTTACCATCCTAGATATGGTGGGCAGGTAATTAATAGCGCCGTAACCCACACAATGAAGATCATAAACAACGCTAAACGTTTTGAACGGCGTTTTTTAGAATAAGTTAGAGGTTGTGTCACAGCCAGATATCTAAAAATATGTACAGTTGCGGAAATTGAATGAATTAAGAGAGTCCATGAATTGACTAGATAATGTTGAATGTCGCTGCTATTGCCCACTGTCAATTGCAGTAATAGCTCAACCAGCCACCAGAGCTGGGTAAATGCAATTACATTACAATTAAAATTACATTACTCAGTAATTATAATTACTGATTAATTGTAATTGTGTTCCAATTCCTTTGAAAGGAATTGAAAATTTAATTGATTTTTTCGAATTTCATTCTTCAAAGTAATTTAAACGGTTATCGAAAAATTTATAAAAAAAAATTTACTGTTGAATTGCAATAGCATTGTTAAATTTCTTGGTTGCTAACTGCCTTGAAGAAATAACTTATACCTAAGTAGTATTACTAATTGGTCTTTAAGAAAGCTGAATAACTTAAACTGTAGCTGTTCAGTTTATAGGGTAACCGTTAAATTTTCCAGATCCTACCTCAAACGCGCTTCGCGGCAGATGAGACCCGTAAATGTCGAAGCAGGCATAACCCACCCGAATACTTTCATGCTCGCCTTTCGGTGAAGAAAAGTCCGGACTGTTGCTTTCTTGGGCACTGCTGTTCTCTTGGACTACCCTGCGTATCTATACAAATGCACTGACTAAATTGTGTATATTATGGTCCCCTAATGCTACCCAAAATGGCGTGCCTTCGGGGGCCTTTGAAGTACTCTTACTGGTATCCTGCGTTACAAATGAAGATAGAGTCCGCTTGAATTATGAGCCCTGTCGGAGTGGAGATCCTACCTCCTAAGAGTTTTATAAACAGATTGCATTGCTATGGCTAACTTTTGATGATAACACTGTAAGGACGCTAAAATTACACAAAAAACGCTGAGACAAGTAAAAGTTAATTTTGGGTTGTAGGTTACGGATCTGTATACCGTTTTTTTAGATAAGGTCATTTAGTCGTCATTTTCATTTTAAGTTTGCATTGCAAATGAAAACAAGTAAGAAAGTCTAAGTTCGGGTGGAGCCGAACATTAAATACCCGGCGCAAGTATTAAATATATATATTTTCCACCTTTTCGAAAGCTACCGCTACATGCTAAGCCCGGGTGTATAAATTTTAAGTAAATTAGCGTCCTTAAATTTCGAAATATTGAAATTTCAAGCATTTCTGTAATTTACCGTTATATGAAAAGCGGCCGTAATTTTAGTCCGATTTCAACAATTTTCAAGAGTTTGCCTTTGTGTGGCAAGCACAATAACCATACCGAGTTTGGTACAATTTGCTAGAACGGTTAGCGAGATACATATATGTGATCATAAGTGGGCGGTGCCACGCCCATTTTCCAAAGCTTTATCATAAACGTACTTCTTGTTAAGTAATTGTTGCAAGCATCAATTTTGAATACACCAGCTTCAATATTTACCGATTTATCGAAGATTTCGTATTTCTCTAAATTACCGTTATATGGGATGTGGGCGTGGTTATTGTCCGATTTTAAAAATTTTCGGTCATTTCGTAGGTGATGTGAAGGCCAACAACTGTGCAAAGTTTGGAAGAAATTGGTGCAGCGGTTACCAAGATATACACATGTAACTATAAGTGGGCGTGGCTACGCCCATTTTCCAAAAAATTTTAATTTTCTTACTTTTCGTCTAAAAGTTATTCTAAACGTAAATTTTGAGTCAATTATCTTCAGTAGTTACTAAAATATCGCAGTTTTCGTATTTCTGAAAATTACCGTTATATGGGAGGTAGGCGTGGCTATTGTCCGATTTCGCCCATTTTCAATACCGTCCGTCCTACGCCCAGAAGAAGTGCACGTACCAAGTTTCGTTAAGATATCTCAATTTTTACTCGAGTTATCGTGTGCACTGACGGACGGACGGACGGACGGACAGACAGTCACCGCTTAATCGATTTCTCTTTTCATTCTGATCATTTATGTATACATTTGTCTATATCTATCTCGATTCGTTTTGCCTGTTACAAACAACCGTTATGTGAACAAAGTTATAATACCCTTGTGCACAAGTGCGCTCGGGTATAAAAATTCAAACTTAACATGGAAAAAGTTACTCATACGATATGGCGTATGAGTAACATTATTTCCTGCTAGTATTTCATACACAAATTATTGCACTTTCACTTAACCCTTGCAAACTTGTTTATTTATCCATCGATTTTCATCATTAGTAGTGCTTTAAGCCGCAAAGCAAGCAGACATTGGCCAGTATATACTAATACATATTTTGAAAGCCGTTTTTTCCGTTAGCAAAGCTAGAGAAAGGCCGTACCGATTTTTTTTAAATTTTGAAATCTACTGCAGACTTTCCAAGGATGGTTATAGGCTAAAAAAATTTCGATATTGAAAGGGTGCGTGGCTCCTCCCATACAAACCGGATTTTTCAAACTGCTTATAATTGTGGTAGAGGACTAGAACTGGGTATGGGGATATACATATATATAAGACCAATTCCATACTCAGAACAAATTAACTGTCCAAAAGTTGGGTGCTGGTTTGGATTATCAAAGACACAAACCAAACTCGGTAAAAAAGGGTTGCATTCGCATAAACTCCAAATAAAAGGGTTGTTTAAGGAGAGTTTAACGAAATTTTTTGTATGGTAAACTCTGGGTTTAAGAGTAGAGTTTAGCGTTAAACTCCGAAATGGCCCATAAACTGGAGTTTGTGGCTCAATGAGAACGTAATATTACTTTAAGAAGGTAGATAATCCAATTGAAAATATTTCCAAATCAATATTTCTCAAATACCTTTCGTTTTGTACCCATACTGTATATTTCATTTATTTTGTCAATTTAATTGAGTTAAATTTGCAAACAGGTGACAAACCCCTTCGAAAATATTTTAGACTGTAAGCCTTCTTAAAACTCTCTAGTTTGACACCCACTATGCAATATTTCCTTTATTTTACCAGTTTAACTGAGTTAAAATTTTCAAATAGGTGGCAACACTCCCAAAGAGTATCTGAAATGGTTATCTTTTTTAAACTTCTTAAATTTGATACCCGCATTGCAATAGTTCATTTATTTTATCAGTTTAATTGAGCTTAAAACTTTCAAGCAAGTGGCAACCCTCCAAATTTTTGCATCGTTAACGATACCGGGATTATACGGAACAATTAAAAAAAATCCAAACCAGATCAGCCGTTCTCGAGTTTCGAGGCCTCGTACAAACGACCACAACTTTTTTATATATACTCTTTATACATAGATATTAGGGCGGGTCGAAAATCTAATTTTTCTCAAAAGCCTTGGTAATAGTGAAAATATATTCTATCATGAAGTCAAAAAGGAAGGAAAATGACAAAAAAAATGTCAATGTTATTGTGGTTTATTAACATTTAATTTTATTTTGTTCCACATTTTTTTTATTTTAAAATAATTTGTTTATAATCTGAACGATTCTAATCATATTATTACCATAAATCAGTAACATTAAGTTTCGCCTTCCATTTGTTAAATATTACGTACCGATCGAGCAACATTTACCAAAATTATATCGAGAAATTTAAGTGGATCGCCAGTTTTTGAAGTGAAACTTCTTTAGCCGCGGTTGGTTGGTGGGAGTAAATTAGCAAACTCAACGGAAATTGCACACCGAAATGGTGCAACGGAAATGGTTGGTGCTGAAACAAGTGCTTCTTGCGTATATGCATATGGTATTAATTTAACAAAAATTTGATAATAAAAGGTTAAAAAACAAGTAAGAAAGTCTAAGTTCGGGCGGAGCCGAACATTAAATACCCGGCGCAAGTATTAAATATATGTTTTCCTCCTTTCCGAAAGCTACCGCTACATGATAAGCCGGGGTGTATACATTTTAAGTAAATTAGCGTCCTTAAATTTCGAAATATTGAAATTTCAAGCATTTCTGAAATTTACCGTTATATGAAAAGCGGCCTCAATTTTAGTCCGATTTCAA